AAAGCCTAAACTTCCATTACAACCAGTGTGGTACACGGGCACGTCCGCTCATTTATTTAAATGTCTCGGACGTCCGGGACTAGTGTACAAGCCACAATTTAACGTAAGAACATATTATTAGAACAAATATCAAGTTAAACCAAAAACCGTTTGTAAACATATGTTGAAAATCAGTAGAAGAAAAGTTTTCAAACAAAAAGATTGAATAATTCAGCATCTAAAGAAATGTCGAACTAAAATATGAGCGAAAAATTAGGTGCAGCTCAATCAACTCAATTACAATTGTTAAATGTCCTCGCACAAATGTTAAAACAAGATCAAAAAATTATTATAAATTATTATTATTTTTTGACCAAGTGAAATTAATTAATTAATCAAACGGATAATTAAATTATCCCACATTAATAATTCAGAGCCTTGCTTGAGAGTAGAGGCAGAAAGTTAATCTATATAAAATTACAAATAAACATTCCCATAATTTAAATAAAACAAATTAATTGTTTTTTGTTAACACTTTTGTTGTCGGAAATTAGTTTAATTGTCTGTTTGGTTATCAGAGAGGCATAGAACTCTGAGGTTATTTGCTTTGGTATAAGCAAAGGTATTGTTTTGGGTATTTGCTTTAGTAAAGAAAGAAAACGTTTAATTTTTAAGCGTAAATGTCCTTGTTTAGTTTTTTGTAATTGTTAAGACTTATTGGCAAAAGTGTTAAGTGCTAACAGATAGTTATTAACCATGTCACTATCACATATTGATTATTGTGAAAGTAATAGTTGTAAACGTTCGGATGGCTTCAATCGGCCCAAGAAAAGTAAAAGTAAATAAAAAAGGAACTCTGGAGGAGAATTTGTTACTTCGTAGAAGGGCCATCTTTATTTATTGTAATTCGTGGTTAGTTGTATCATAAAGCGTGCTTACAGATTCGCCAAAGCTTTCTTTCTAGGTACAAGAAAGAAAAAGGCAACAATCAGGATAATTTCGTAAAATAAATAATAAATTGACAAGTTAAAAAGCTAACTCCGAAACTCGGTCATGACGCTAAATAATCAAGGTTGCCTATAAGCTATCCTCGGATATTTGAAGTAGTGGATACGACACAGACAGTCCGTATCCATGTCCGTTGACAACACTGTTTATCAATTAAATCTGTGGGTTGGGTGGTAGGAGTTACAGAGCGTTTACCAACTCTAAAAATTAATTTTTATTTGTCATGTAGGTTCTGTATATAATATCACACTTTTCAATAGTGTTGAATAAAAAAAAGCTGAAAATCAGAAGTTTTTATTAATATTTTTTAGCAAGTTAATTTTGTTCCATAAAAATATAAAAATTACAAATTCATTTCTCAATAATTTGCCAAATATTAGCATTCATTATTCTATGTCTTGCTTAACAAATTCACCAAAAATTTTGATTTTTCAATATATGGACATTGTTGAATAATCATCACATAACTAACAGCATGTTTTTAAGCTGAAGTCCTCATGAATAAATTTTGAGCTTAAAATAATGGACTTCAAAATCCTATTTGAATCAAAACAGCATCTTAATTTTTGTGATAAATTTAGGAATGATAGCTATATAGAACGTAGGAGCAATTGGCTGCTAGAAAGGACGAAAAACATCCTTTTTCTAAGCGAAAAGACCATTTCTAAATTTGGACGAATCAAATTAATATTACACAAACGCGATTCTATATCGAAAATAATGCCTTCTAGCCAATTAAGAAATGCAAGAGACTCTAATGCACAAAAAAATCATCGAGCATTTAATGTTGATTATTCCAGGGTCTTAAAGTGTGTTGCAAAAAAAAAATTGGCGCGTGAATAAAACTGTATATCTTAACAATTACCCTGTAAAAATGACACTCCATTATATCTCCATGATTACATTTATCACTCCATAAATGTCCAATTTATTTCATAAAAGTAGCAACCAGTTGAGTAAGCAATTCGGATTTCTTCTATGATGTCATATTTATTAATATAGGGACATTTGTAATGTGGAATTAAAACAGAATGTGAGAATAAGATTTTATAATGCTGGAATATTTATTAACTGATAAAGTCGCAAATAAAAACGGACTTTATTATTATTATTATTATTATTATGAAGATTTATTTAAATACACATTCCATAATTTCTGCAGCATTCCGCTATTTGAATACATTAATATTTTATTGTCTTTAAATATATATCAATTTCATCCAAATGTTTACTAATGTTGAGTTATTACATTTTCGTATTCTAAGCATTGCATTAAAAAGTAATCATTTGTTGTAATGAATTAATGGTTTGACCAACATTTAGTTATTAGTTGGGAACCCCTTTTAGTTTTATTATATTGCTTGTAGGACCACTCAAGTAGTGTAGTTGTATATGGTAATTTTAGTTCAGTAAGAGTAGAATTTCTATTCGAATTATTCGTTCGAATTATTATTATTCATTGTATATTAATATTGTTTGTATGGTCAAATTTTTATACTTTTTGAGGAAAATATATTTATTAGATGTATCAAATTATGGTTTATGTTGTTTATTTATTTAATTATTTATGTGGAATAATAAAAAAAGGAAACTTTTAGATATAGATTGCCAAGTTCAATTTGATCAATGTTAGGAGCAATTTGAATAGATAATGGATTATTATTAAAAAAAAAAATGGAAGGTGTTTATAACCATTTGTAGTGAAAATTGTTGAAAGTTGAAAGAGTCTTTAATTATCTCAACCTGCTTATCACCCAGGTGTACAAAATATTTCAAAGGCTTGGTGGATAATGAATAGAAATTATTAAATATAGCTTTTCATTCTCTCTCACTTCATGATGTGTCTATTGATAATAAATAATTCATCTGTTTTGACATCCAACTATGTTGTATGTTGACCATCTTAAACCTCAATATATATGATGTGTAGTTTGATATAAAACTTTCTAAAAATAATAATTTAATAAATATTATGTAGAGTTTCTATATACTTGTTCTTATTCAAATAAACATTTAATGTAATTCATATACTCGAGTTCATAATGGACAAAAAATTAATCTTATTCAAATAGAAGCCCTATTAATATGACATTAATTGGTTTGAATTGAATTGAGTGCATTTTTTTGAATTCAAGTAGAATCACCTTGTTTGGAGCTTTAATTATATCCTCCAGAGTTTGACATGAGGTTAATCTATCATTTGGAAAGATTGTGATATTTAATTATAAAATCTTAAATGACTTAATTTCTGATTTAAATCTTTGCAACAACAAAAAAAGAATTATCATAAACTTTATGTTTTCAATAAAAATAGACATCCATTTTTAGAAATGTGTGCATTATGGGTGTTATCACCAGAAATATTGAATTCTTGGGTAAGTTGAATTCTCCACAAGCATAAATTGCCCATTCTTGGCAATTTAGGCTTATCTAAATTAATTACCACATCCCATCAAAAAAAGTCACCTTTACACATGCCATTACTAATAAAATATAAAGCAGGATGTATTAAAATGTATGAAATATTTATTAGGCACTTCTTCAAATGAAGTATATAGGTTTTTTTAATGTACTCATAGTGCCCCTTCCCATTGGGGAAAACATCAAAGCTTCCATATCAGGGCTTCCAAATAAGATCAGGAGTTTGACACTGTTTGATTCAACAAAAATCTGTAATCAGTCTATCATAGTTTGTGTCTTTGTTGTGTATTTTTGGAGGAAAAGAATCATTTGGGACAACCAAATCTAGAGGACAGGAACCTCCTGGAAATTGATTGCAATAGTGGTTCAACAAGCAAGTTGAAATTATTTAGATATGAGCTTTTTATTTGATAATATAGGTATAATTTTTATTATTCAAATACATCTATTTTTATATTAAAAAATTATTTATATATTATGATATATTGATAAGTACATTACTTCAACTTGTTAATGCTGTAAAAAATGAAAACATTTGATTTGAAAAGGTAAGAAATAAATAATACTGCAATTTTACTTATCAAAAATTACATTTATTTTTTTGTCAAAATCATTATTTTAGTGTGCATATTCAACATCCAAATATCAAGAATATCAAAAAAAAAGATGTGAAAAGTCATTACCTTTTATTAAATATAATTTCATTCTCAAAATATTTAATATCACAACTATAGATATTATATTAATATGCAGTTGCTTTGTAAACTCGACCATCCTTCAGTTAATTGTTTTGGATCACATGATTGACACCATGAATAATTAGTATTATATTTATTGCAAGTTGGACATTCCTCATATCCTTTACATCTTTTATAAAGGATATTCATCATCATCATTTTATCAGTAGAAGTATCGTCATGATGTTTATTTTCATCCAAAGTGTTTTCCCATTTTTAAAAAGAACTTTTTTTTTCAGCCAAAACTGAGACACTTTTACTTGATGTACAACCAATAATGTTAAATAACTATATACAACTATACTGCTTGATTAGAGTTTCTATTCGAATAAGGCTTACTTGTTATGAATTTGAGTAGTCAAATTATGTTGAAAGTTTATTCAAATAAAATGAATAAACAATTTGAATGAATTGAATGAAACAAATAAACGAATAATTCAAATAAATGAATAATTCGAATATAACGAATAAACAAATAAACAAATAATAATAAAAAAATAATAATAATTCAAATA